TGCCTTATTGAGAGTCTTTCCCTCTTTCGCTGTTGTTAGGTGCCGTCTAGTCAAGTATGACTCCTAGTGACCCTGTGAACAACAGGTCTGAGTTCTGTACTGTCTCGTGCCAACCTCATCGTCTCTGACATACTCAAGTCCATTGCTGCAGGCACTGTGTCTCTTTGAGGGCCTTCCTTCCTCTCTCTAACCCTCCACCTATCTAAGCATGATGTCCCTCTTCAAGGAATAGCACCTTGGACATGCCCAAAGTAGGTGAGACAAAGCTTTGCCATCCCTGTCTGCAGGAAGCCCAGGTTTGTCTGCACTTTGCCCAGGTTTGTTCTTTTGACCCGCGGAATAGACAGTGCACTTCTCCAGCACCCTAGCTTAGAGGCATCAATTCTTCCCTCATCCTTTCATTGTCCAGCTCTCAGAGCCATAGCAAGTGATTGAAAAGACTAGTGCCTGAGTCAGGCACACCTTAGTCTGCAGACTGGCATCATTGCTCCTTACTAACTTGAAGAGATCCCTGACAGCACACTTGCCTAATGTAATACATCTCCTGATCTCGTGACTGCCGGTACCATAGGTGTTGATGTCAATCTTTTCTCCATCTACCATGATGTTGCCTATTGACCGAGTATTAAGAATCTTTGTTTTCTTGATGTTGAGATGCAATCCTTGTTGCAGGCTGTAGCCCCTGGTCTTCTGCATCAAGCATTTCAAGCCTTCTTCACCTTTGGCAAGCAAGGTTGTATCATCTGCATAACAGGTTGTTGGTGTGTGCTCCTCCAAACATGGTGCCACATTCTTTTTCAGAGTCTAGCTTCTTGAATGATTTGTTCAGCATACAGACTAAATACATGTGGAGAAAGAGTGAGTCTATACCCTTAAATATGAGTATTGGAAAAGACAAAATGTCTGCAACTGGCAAGCCAGTGTTACATGTCCAGAGGTTAAGAGCAGTGTTGGAAAAGCAGAGAGATCCAGAGACAGTTAGGACACAGAACAGAGAGCAGGAGCAAAAATGACTGGCTGGCTTTTTAAATTTTATTTTAACAAAAGTTTACAAAAAGCTTGGGTTTCCTTCCATTCATTGTTAAACCTGGAAATTTTCCCTGTCAAAAATGGCTCTTGAGCAGATCAATAACATAGATGAATCGCTGACTATGTTATATTAAAAAGCTTTAAGAGACAAATACTGTTCAAAAAGAAGGCAGAGATTAGTGTTGATTTAAACTCACAGGAGTCCGAGAAACTTCTTGCCAGTGAACTGGAAAACACTCTCATATACACACACATACACGCACAGATACAGACATGGGATGGGACTTCTAGAGGCACAGAAGTTGAGGAAAAGACAGGAACTAGATAAGAAACAGTCTTAGAAACATTGAAACTGCAGTCAGAAATCTACAGAAATAACTCTAGAGGAAAGCACTTTGGCAATGTTGTAACATTGTTGCCACAGTGAGAACACAGTGCAGGAACCCACTGTAGCAGAAGTGTCAACCCCACCAGGCTAGCAGTTCCTCCAAAACCCTCCCAGATAGCTTTCCAGCATGTGCAAGCTTTTCTTTTCTTTCTTTCTTTCTTTTTTTTTTAAGCAAACTTTCCATGAAAAGAAGCAACAAACTGTTAAATGCACTGTATCAAGTTAAAAGTAGAGTGAGAACATGCCCGTGGTTATCCTAATAGGTGCACAAGAGTCAACACGCTGGTAGTTATCCTAATAGGTGCACAAGCTCATTTGATAAAATTCAAACACCTGCTCGTGCTTTAAACCCCCGAAGCCTGGAGAAGGGAGCCTGCTTCTAGAGCGCTTGCTGGCCGCCCTGAACACAGATCCTATTTCATAGGGCAGCGCTCTTGCTAATGTCAACAGCACAGTGACAGCTATGTTTGCCCTGCTTCCCGTGAACCCAGTACTGTGAAGGTTCCACCGGGAGTGACAGGCAGCCTTCTCCATTGTCACCATTTTCAAACCACATCGTTGGCTTAGATTGGCCGCTAATGACTTTTTGAAATGTGGCCAGTCCAGCAGCCGGTCCCAGTTGAGGTGAGCTGGAAGTGCCAAAAATGTAAACTCTTACTGATAAATGTGATACAGAGTACAAGCCGGGAGCTCCCTAGAGGCACGGATGGTGAAACCTAGGCTAAGGAGGGACCAGCCTTTGGAAAGAGGTAGCAGGCGAGGGAAAGTGGAGGGTCCAAGGAAGAGAGGAAGACCCTCGACAAGATGGATGGACACAGTGCTCAGCAGTGGCTCAGGCATGTCTGAGATATGAGGATGGCACAGGGCAGGGCATGATCCACATCTCTTGTGCACAGGGACGCTGTGAGTTGTCATCAGTTCCACAGCACCTAACAACGTGTTGAAGGTAGTATTTTAGTTTTCAGGTGCTGCTATAACAGAGGCACCACAAATACATTTCTAGCAAGCAGAAATTTACTGGCTTAAAATTTAGGAAGCTGGGTTTGTTTGTTTTTTTTTTAAAAATTATTAACTTTAATGAAAATTTACAGAGATTTTGGATTTCTATTCATTCATTGTTGCACTTTTCTCCATGCCCACCCCTTCCCCCCAGTTCATTCTTCTCTTTGAAAAATAAAAGAACAATTCTTTCATTGTTACACTATCTCTCCCCTTCATGTCCACTCCACTCTGCAGCCTTCATTCTGGACTCCTGTCATGACACTAATACCTAATCATATATTGTTGTTGTTATGTGCCATCAAGTCGTTTGCGACTCATAGCAACCCTATGTACAAGAGATCATATATACCTTTTAAACAATTCTCTCCCTCATCTGTTTCAATGCAGTATACATTATTTATCCCATCTTTCTCAGTCTCCTCCCAACCCCGATGTCAGTCCTATTTTACAACAGTGGCACTCTGCAGTATTTGTCCTTTTGTGACTGAGATACTTCACTCAGCATAATGTCCTCCAGGGCCATCCCTTTTGAATAATATTTCATGAGTTCCTTGTTTTTCAGTGCAGCGTGATATTCCATTGTGTGAATATACCACAGCTTCTCTATCCATTTGTTTGTTGATGGGCACTTGGGTTGTTCCCAACTCTTTGCTATTGTGAACAAAGCTGTGATAAACACGGGTGTGCATATATCTGCTTGGGAGGCAGTTATGGTTTCTTTGGGGTAAATTCCCAGTAGTAGAATGGCTGGGTCAAATGGTATTTCTATTTGCAGCTTTTTGAGAAAGGGCCGTATAGCTTTCCATAATGGTTGCATCATTTTACACTCCTACCAACAGTGAATAAGGGTTTCAGTAAGAATAGCAAAGTTTAATAGAACAGCAAACAACAAATGCTGGCGAGGTTGTGGAGAAACAGGAAGCTATTTTTGTAAAGTCCCCTTGAGTGAGGACCAACCCACAGCTGACCCTCCAGTGGGTTTCCAAAGACCGTTAATTAATTGCCTGAGAGGAGGTGGCCCATCTTTCTCCCTCAGAGCAGCTGGTAGATTTGAACCATGTACCTTTGGGCTGGCAGCACAACTCCTTACCATTATTACCACTAAGCCACCAGAGCTCCAGACCCTTCTTAACTTCTAGGAAGCTAGAAGACCCAATTCAGAGTACGGGCCCCAGGGGAACTCTTTCTCTGGGTTCTGGAGGAAGGCCCTTGCTTCCTTCAGCATCTATAGACCCAGTGTTCTCTGGAGAATTCCATGTGCTTGGCTTTCCCATGTCCAGGAGCTTCCAGCACAGGGACCCGAGGCCACAGCAAGCTGGGCTCCATTCCCCGCAATTCTTTCTGGGTGCTACTGCGTTCCACCCCTTTTGTATGATGAAAGGTTAAGGGGTCTTGCATTCTATCTTTGATCCTCTTAATGAGGGATCATTAGGAATAAGGATGACAGAAAAGAATTGACATCTTTGTGCTGTGGTGTTGAAGAGCATTTAACATCCACACCCTACTGACTGTAACTCTGCCCCTTCTTGTGTCGCCCCATGATCTGCTTCATACTGGGGTGCTGTGACCATGGGATTTTGACTTATTGATTTTCGGAAGTAGACATCCAGACTGTCTTGTTAGTCCACCTTAGTCTCGAAGCTCCACTGAGTGTGCTGGCTGGGCCTTGAACCCGGGTCTCCCACCTGGAAGGTGAGGGATTTGGTCCCCTGAGCCACCAGCCCTGTGCTGAGCTGCAGTCGTGGTTCCGGAGGCTCCGCCCTGTCCCCAGCCCACTCCCTGGCGCTGTGTCTTCACGGCTGGCAGGCAGGCGTCATGTTTGGCTTTGTGTTCTGTCTTAAATTCCCTGTCTGTTGGCTGGCCTTTTCATAACCCCGGCTCAGCATTGTTTATCATTGCGTGAACCCTCAGCGCGCCACAGAAGAGAGCTTTCCAGGTGCATGTGGCTAAGACGCGTGTGGTGAGAGTTCTCAGCGGGGCACCACTGCTGGGGGTGCCAGCGGGAATTCAGGAGCCTGCACCCATTTGCAGGACAAATGTCCCCCCCTTCTCAGTCTTAAGTGCCCCCTTGATGGGATGTGAGTCAGAGAGGGATGGTTGCCCGGGAGGTCTGTGTGCGGTGTGGGGTGATCTGGGTAATTGAGAGGGGAGGAGGAGGAGTGGGGTGAAGGCAGCCTGTGGTCCCATGGACTGGCTCCAGGAGGCACGTTCAGCAGGGCGATCTTTGTCACCAAATGAGGGACTGCTGGGTTGGGGTGGACTGTGGCCAGCACTGACTCTGATCTGGCTCTGTCACCAAGCAGGAGGTCCTGGAGATGTTGTTTGTCAGAGGCTGCGTCCTGAGCACCACACCCTGTGCCATCCCCCTGGCCGGTGTGGGAGGCTGCGTCCTGAGTGCCATGCCCTGCCTGTGACCTGCGCTGTCACCCTGCCTGCCTGTGCCCTGTGCTGTCATCCTGGCTGTGCCCTGCATGGTCCCCCTGGCCAGTGTGGGAGGCTGCGTCCTGAGTGCCATGCCCTGCACTGTCACTCTGGCCGGTACTGGCGGCCGAGTGTCTGACAACACCTTCTGTGTCCCCAGATTGCCCTCATGACGCTGACCCTCTTCCCCATTCGGCTCCTGTTCGCCGCCTTCATGATGCTGCTCGCGTGGCCCTTTGCCTTCGTGGCTTCGCTGGGATCTGCCGAGAAGGAACCGGAGCAGCCCCTCGCCTTGTGGCGCAAGTAAGTTGATCACCAGTGTGGGTGTCCAGCCAGAACAGGTGGCCCTACGTCCACACGTCCCCTGGCCTTCTCGAGGCCCCACGTCAGTGTTCCTGGGGCCCCCTGTGGCCCCCTCAGCTTGCTCCACTTCTTGACCGCCCCCATCCTGGTCCAGTCTCCTAGTGCACTGATAAGGTACCACAGGGAAGGGCCTTTTACAAACAGAACAGTGTTTTCTCTCAGTTACCAGGTGGAAGGCTAAGTTGAGGCTGGCTCTAGAAGAAGGTGCCTTTTGTCATCTCTGGGGGCATCCACGGTCTTTCACTTTCTCTTCTGAGTCCTTAGTCCTCGTCATGTGATGCAGCATCTGTGCACTGCGTGGACTTCCTCCTCCATAGCCTGAGCTGGGCTTTATCTCTCTACAGCGATTGTCTTAAGAGACAGGCCATGCAAACCCTGTGCCTCTGGAGGATTGCATCTGCAGCTCCACTGCTTTCGGTTGTTGTTAGGTGCCATTGGGTCAAGTACAAGAGTGTGAGCAAGTGTGTACATGAAGGGAGAGCATGGGGGAGTGATTGTGTGAAGGGTGTATGTGTGTGTGTACATGAGTGTGAACAAGAGAGACTGAAGGTGTGAAGACAGGAGTGTGTGTACATGACGGGAGAGCGTGGGTGAGTGATCGTGTGAAGATGTGAGTGTGTGCACGTGTGTGCGGCTGAGAGTGTGAAGACAGAAGTGTGTGCGTGTGTGTATGAATGAGAGAAAAAGGTGTCAAGATAGGAGTGTGCGTACATGACAAGAGAGCGTGGGTGAGTGATCGTGTGAAGATGTGTGTGCACGTGCGTGCGGCTGAGAGCCTGAGAGTGTGAAGACAGAAGTGTGTGTGTGTGTGTGTGTGTGTGTGTGTGTGTGTGTGTGTGTACGAGAGAAAAAGAAGGTGTGAAGACAGGAGTGTGTGTACATGAGGGGAGAGCATGTTAAGGGGGTGTGTATGTGCACGTGTGTACAGCTGAGATCCTGAGAGTGTGAAGACAGGAGTGAGAGTGTGTGTGTGTGTGTGTGTGTGTGTGTACATGAGTGTGAACAAGAGAGCCTGAATATGTCGACAGGAGCGTGTACATGAGTATATGAATGACGGTGAGTGTGATTGTGTGAGGATGAGTGTGTGCATGACTGTATGTGAATGAGAATGTGTGTGTGTGTGTGTGTGTGTGTGTGTGTGTGTCTACGGAAGAGTGTGCCAGTGTGCAGGCGTGTTTGTGTGAGTGACTGCATGCGTGTGTGAATGAGAGTGATTGTGTGAAGGCAAAATTGTGTGTGAGTATATGCATGCGTGTGTGTGTGTGAGGGCAGGAGTATGCATCAGTGTATGAATGAGAGTGATTGTGTGAAGACACGAGTGTGTACATGATGACGCATGCATGTTTGTGTAAGAGTGTGAGTGTGTAAAGGCAGGAGTGTGTGCACGTGTGTGTGTGTGTGTGTGTGAATGAGAGCCTGAGTGAGTGCAGATAGGAGTGTGTGCATGGCGGTATGAATGAAGGGGAGTGTGAGTGTGTGAAGACACGAGTGTGTGCGTGACTGTGTTTGTGTGAATAAGAGTGTAAAGGCAGGAATGTGTATGTCGGTGAGCATGAGTGCACGCATGTGTGCAGATGAGAGCTGAGTGTGAAGACAGGAGTGTGTGCATGAATGTATAACTGAGGGGGAATGTGACTGAAGACATGTGTGCATGGTGGTGCGTGTGTGTGCACGCGCGTGTGAATGAGGGTGAGTGAGTGAGTGTGTGAAGCTGTGTGTCACATCTGTGTGAGTCTGAGTGAGCAAGAGTGGGAGCGTGTGAGGATGTGAGAGTGTCTGTGCGCGTGCGTGAGTGTGACATAAGCAGACATGGGCCTGGTGACCGGGACAGCCTGAGCTCTGGCCATCCAGGAGCTCTGGGACCATGGCTGGATTTTGGCTTCTTCATTTTTCTCCCCCTTTACATTTTCTAAATTCTCCTTTTTGAAGCTCACGCCCCACTTTGAGGTTCATTTTTCCGGTGTGACTTTGATCATAAAATACAAACATGATGTCAAATCAAGCACATCCGAGACCAAATCCGAGTCACAATGTCAGTTTGACTAGACTGAGAAGCTGCCACTAGAAAGTGGAGATACTTGCCAGTGTTGACAGATTTCTTGGCAGCTGGATTGATTTGGGTTTGGCGACGGTGGCTGACGTCTGAACGACTGTTTCCCCGCACATCTGGGATTCAGTCCCTGCTCCCCCCCACCCCTAAACTGAGCTCCTCCACGCACCCCCTCTTCTCTCCCAGGACCCGGAACCCTGACACCTTGCACTTTCTACGATCAGGCACCCCAGCGAGTTCCCATCCCGCTGTGCTCACCCCTGTGCTGTTTCGCCAGTCTGTGAATAATTTGTTTACTTTATCAGATGATCTGATAAGCAGCCTCCGGTGAACTGGAGGTTCCAGGCTCTGCTGAGGAGGATGCCAGGGGTGTCTGCGGTGATCCACGAGGGTCACACGGGGCTATTTCCTGTTCTCCTCCGTGTCCACTTGCACGTGGACCGTGTGTCATTCGTGTATGCACCACACCACGTGCCAGTCCATGTGTGCCCTGCCTGCGTGCTGCCCGGCCCTGCGGGTCACGATGCCCGAGCAGCAGCAGATAAAGGGTCGTGTGCAGGATGAGGCTGTGTGTTATCCTGCTGTGGTGGGGTCACCATGAGGGGCGCTGACTAGATGGAGCACCCACCACCACCAACAAGCACAACAATGCTCTCAGCATAAACTCTTTTCCTTAAAGATCTCCCCCTCTCGTATCCTGGGGGCAGCTTTAACTGAAACACCTGATGTGAGGGAGCTCTGTGATAAGGAATCGCACCATCAAGCCAAAGGTACATGGTTCGAAGCCACCAGCTGCACCACGGGAGGAGGATGGGCAGTTTCCTTCCGTGTGATTTACGGCCTCTGAAAACCTGCTGAAGGGTCAGCGGCGGGCCGGTTCCAGCTTGCCGGTAAACAGCAGCCTACGTGCTTCTCTGATCTGTGACAAACCCAGACTGCATTTGAAAAGTGAAAGCTCAGGTCCAAGTGTGTCCGCGTGGAACTGCACCATCTGCTGTTGCTGTGAAGTCAGAACCGACCCAGAGCTGAGCCTCCGGCAGGTTTTCAGTAAATCACAGAGAGGAGACTGCTGGCCCTCCTCCGGCAGAGCAGACGGTACATCGGAAGCGCATCAGCCCCAGCTCAGAGCCTGCAGAGTCCCAGCCAGTCCCGCGCCCTCCTTACAGCTTCGTGTTGCCTAAACCCATTGTTTCATCTCCTCCCCATCACCGGCCCTCCACTTTTCTAGACGTGATGTCCTCTTCTAAGGACTGCTTCCCACAGTGCGTCCAAGGGAGGTGACACAGTGTCGCCTGCTTCTCTTCTAAGGAGCCTCCTCCCCGTATGACTTCTAGGACCGCTTTGTTTGTTCTTTGGCAGTTTGTGATAAAAACCATGTTCTGCAACACTGTTGTGCAAAGGCATCAGTTCTTCCTTCTTCTTTAGTCATTATCCATCTTTAACATGCATATGAAGCAATTGAAAAGACCATGCATGGCCTGGTTCGGGAAGAAGTCTTCAAACTTTCATCTTTAAACGGACATCCCGGCTTTTGATGCTTTACAAGGCCCTTGTGGGCAGACTTTCCTGGTGTACTGATACTTGACTTACTGATGGATCCTTTCTTGGGTGTTGACAGTAGATCCAGCAGAAATTAAGCCCTGGACTGTTTCAGCCTTTTCTCTGTCTATCACACCCAGCTGTGAGGATTTTGTTTTCTGGATGTTGTTTTTATGTGCCGTCAAGTCGCCAGCGACCCTGTGTACAGCAGCTCGGAACCCTGTCCTGATCTGAGCCAGTCTCACTAATTCTGACACATCAACCCCCATCGCCCCGGTTACTGTATCAATCCGTCTCATCCTGGGTCTTCCTTTACTGAGCTGTCCCTCCACCCTTCCAAGCATAATGTCCTTCTCCTAGGACCAGTCTCTTCTGGCCACATGTCCAAAGGGTGTAAGACAGAGCTTCAAAATCCTAGCCCCTTCAAGGAGAAACTTGGTTTCACCCTCTCTAAGACAGACCTATTTGTTTTCTTCAAGACTCTTCCCCAGCACCACAACTTGAAGGTATCTGTTCTTCTGTCATCCTTAGACATTGTCCAGCTCTCTGATGCATAGCAAATAGTTATGAAGACCATGGCCTGGATTAGGTGCACCTTAGTCTCTAGACGGACTTCGTTGCTTTTCATCACTCTGGAGAGGTCCCTGAGAGCAGATTTTCCCAGGGCAATTCATCTTTTGATTTCCTGACTGCTGCTGAGGTTGATTGTGGAGCCAAGCAAGCTGTAATAGTTAACAACCTCAATCTCTTCTCCAGATACTCTACGCCAGGGATGTGTCCTGTCTCCATACCTTTTCAACCTGTATGAAGAACAGATCATCCGGGAGGCTGGGCTCTATGAGGGGAAATGTGGGATCAGGATTGGTGGAAGATCTATCAACAATCTGCGTTATGCAGATGACACAACCCTGC